ATATTTTCAAGATTTTATTAATTAGCAAATCTCATCATTAATACAGTTTTTTGTCCAGAAAACCTTTTAAAAGTGCATAAAAAGACCCTCATACTTTAAAATAAGCATAATATATAAAATATCGGTTTTGCTATGTGTACATTGGGGGCTACATAAGGCTTGACATAATGGCCACATGGTAGCCCCCTATTGGAGGGTCGGCTGGGCCCACAATTGGGCCCAGCCGACCCTCCAATAGGGGGCTACCATGTGGCCATTATGTCATTGTGGGCCCAGTCGACCCTCCAATAGGGGGCTACCATGTGGCCATTATGTCAAGCCTTATGTAGCCCCCAATGTACCCATAGCAAAACCGATATTTTATATATTATGCTTATTTTAAAGTATGAGGGTCTTTTTATGCACTTTTAAAAGGTTTTCTGGACAAAAAACTGTATTAATGATGAGATTTGCTAATTAATAAAATCTTGAAAATATAAATGCGAGGACATCTAACGTTTGCATAGTGTGATCACTTAGAATGATGCCAAATATCATTATTCTTTTATAAATCGTAGTTAAATGTCACGTTTCTTGTAAACAGTAGTTCCGGCGTGGCGTGTGGAGCCTCCACAATGTAACACGTGTCAATATCACCGGCCTTCATTTGACTTGGGTGACATAATCTTCAATCATCCACTTTCAAATGTAAATTATTCCACCATGTTTTTAATCATTCAATTGAAAATAAACAGGTTAAAGTTGTTGGATCTAATGAATGTTTTTTTTTGTTTTAACGAAGTTGATACAAAAGGGCGCTGGTCGGCCGGTCGGGTCGGTAAAATCTTTCGTGGCCATTGTCTTTTATCAAGCATTAATAACTAATGCATTTATTTTTTTTCTGCTGCTTTTTCATTTCATAATGTTCATACTAAGTGACAACGTTCGAATGTCCATTATACATGTCGACTATCAATAATAACACTTAATTAACAATAATATAATTTAATATAGCTTAAATATGACTAAGATCACACTAATTATAGATTAGAAAGTAGGAAATTTTTAACCTTACGTTTACACTAGAGGTCACTAAACATCTAAAGAAGAGACAATTAAACACCAAATTACGTTTTCTTTATCAAAATTTGTTAACTTTCTCCAATGGTCACTCTGCTTTTAATGTCGTTTTTCAATAGTCAAAGAAGTTTCATTGTTTTTTTTTTGAATTATTTCTGATCCTCACTTCGTCTCCTTCCGCATGAAAATTAGCAGTAAAGAGAATATGTAATTTTGCAAATGATTTTGACTGATGGATGAGGAACAACGTTAAAGGTACTGTGGTTACTGAAAATGTCACATTGCATACCTAAAAGGCCAAATTAAAGCAGCCAAATACCCCAAACTAAAAGATCCAATATGAAAAGTGATGTGATGAAAGAAATCTCCAACTCCACCAGTTACTGCATGGATTCAATTATATGAAGAAACAAAAGAAATAATGTTATAATTTAATCTCCAATAGTATATTACTACTGTCTTCATGTGCATCATCTGGAGATATTTAAATGATTTTTTTCATAATGTAACATGACCAAACGCATCAATTTATTAAGCAAAATGTGTAGCATGCTTTATATATGAAGAGAAAGGAGCCTCATTTGGTAGATACAGAGACTAGTAAAAAAGTTGCATAGTAAGTAATATTCACCTGCTAGATGTAACATGAAACTGTTCATCATTGAATTTCGCTTCGTTTTCTTTCAAGTCCTGTCTCTGTATAACTGTGACTAACAGCATAAATATGTACCTGCAAAGCCTACATGCCAAACACACTTTGCACCCACCACACGAATTGGGAGGAGAGAACAGGAAATGTAAATACAAAATCCATAAAAATGTAAATACAAAATCCATACTTACCATCAGTTTTAGCACAACATGATCGACACTAAGCGAAGAAAAATCCCATTCTACATTCCCAAGACACAATCCCCATACTGAGAGATTAAGAACGATCAATGAAGAATGAATCAATTCCCATATAAACTGCTATGTAAGCAAATAAACTTCTGACAGAAGAACCAAAAAAAAAAAAGAAAAGCAAAGGCAGTGTTTGGCAAATGCTAAACCTGTTTAAGTACGCCATGACAGAGGAAGGGATAATTTGGAGGGAGAAATGTTTGATCAAATTGCTATACGGGCTCAGATAATATTGAAAAGAAGCTGGAAAGGAGATCAAAGCACGGAAGGAAATTATAGTATTGATTAGATGGCAAGGAACAAATGAAGGAATGTATAAGTTGAATACTTATGGGTATTACAAAGCCTCCTCAGGACAAGAAGCAGGAGGGGGCATGTCGAGAGATAATATGCGTCAATTGGTCTTTGCATTCCATGAACATTATAGAAATTGTATTAGCTTCATAGCAGATTCCATAAGGGATTGAGCACGTATAAGCAAAAGCAGATAAAAAGGATAGAGGTGGAAGTGGATTCATTAAGTCTAGTTAACACAATAAGTATTAGGTAACCAGGGTAATGGAAGCAGTGTGCTTACTGGGTGACATTAGGAGAATGTTGACAGAAACTAAGGGGTAGAAACTAAAAGAATTATTCTTCTTGTACATTAGGGGTGCCATAATGGTGTCCATGATTTTACGGTCAAATAATAGATCTTGGAAAATTATACTACTCGAAATCAAGTACTGTCCCCAATGGTGGGGTGCCATGTGTCCATTATGGACACCATTATGGCACCCCTAATGTACTTGTAGCACTTCCCAAACTAAAATGGCTGCAGATTGGTTTGCAAATAGAAGGCTGCAGATTAAGAGCAAGTCAGCGGTGGAAGTAACTCGTATGGAGGAACAAGGGTATCCTAAGAACTGAAACTTGGCCTTCCATATTTAAGAATCCCGAAAAATAAAGTCCAAATTAGGGGCTTTATAGTCAGCAACTTAGTGGCATAATATTTGCATGCTTAGAATAGGCTGATGTGCAAGGGGCGTAGTACTTTCTTGTTTAAATTTCACAAGTTCTTTTTGGTACATCCTTGTTAGGAGATAAGTCCCAACATCCCACTCCATGTACTTCATTTCTATATTAATATACAGGCAGGGGACTGCGCCAAACCCTCCCACTACACAATTGGATAGGAGCTTAAAAACATCTATCCCAGCTGAAGTGGTTTACAAATGAAAAACTATATGCAAAGTGCTGAAATTGATACTTTAGGTTGTTGGATGTCAAAATAGACAACCTTCAGCCGGTAAAACGTATTTATCTCTTCAATGAAGATTTTACTCTTCACCCTTCAGTCAGCAGACGCACCATTTAGCAGTAGCCATTGAAAGAGTATATAGAAGTATAACAAGTCCGTTCTAATTTTACATGGAGTAATAACCAAGGCAAATTCTTAACAATTAATTCCCACGCATGTATAAAGAATATAGTCAAATAGGCATGTATAATTGTACCAAATAAACTAGCTCCTACACAAGTAATATGCAGAGGACAATTTTGAGCCATAACATCTTCAAGCATACTTGACACGGCTTCCCAAAACTTGCAGTAAATGTTGCCAACCACAAAGATTCACTGATTGTTACCTGTTTTCGCATTGAATTTGAGTCAATGAGAACTATTATTTTCTTGGACAACCCCATATCTGACTGAGATAAGCTGCACCAGGGAAAAAAAGGAATAAAAACTATAAATAAATGAACAGGGGAGGAGCAGAAGTTTCTGTAAAGCTTCCATAGGGGATCTCAAGTTTCACCTTCTCCGTTCAATCATCTCTCGAGAATAACGTCAACCAATATATTACCAGATGGGCAAAAATGTGACGTGTGCCACGACCTGATCCTACCAGAAGACCAGAAGTTGGAAATTCCATTCCACCAAGTATATAGGCAGTGATCTTTTATGGACCATTTTACTTCTGGCAATGACATGAACTACACGAAACGAGATAATATAAGTACCAAAAGAAGTGCATCAGCAGGTTCACTTGTTAACATGTCATTACACACTTCCAGCTGCTGCTGTGTTCTCGCAATTAGAACAATTATTGTACTCATCTGATCTGAGGCTTAAGTAGCAATCCAAAATTATTCAAAGAAATCTTCAACGTGAACATCCCTATAGCAGCTAAAATTAGTAAATCAAAACACCATGCTTCACCCCATTCTGTATCTTCAAAGTACAAAGAAGGAAAGTAAGATTCAATTTTCAAATCTAATCCCAAATCCCACATACTATGGACTGGCGCAAATTTTGAGTACTCCCATGATTTCTGATCCTAGGCCGAGGTAGACTGAATAAATTCTCATCCATTATTGTTTGCGTGCAGCCTACAGATACACTTAGGATTCCGTCCAGTTGTTCCCTACGTTTTATCATAAGTTGCAAATAATGTAAGGAATTTCTAAGAAGATTCAGCTGACGAAGGTTTGAGCCAGTAATGTTCAGTAATTGAAAATGAAAAACATGTGTCAGGAGGTCTGTTTATCCCGGATTCTAATTTTACATGGGGTTGTTTGAGCCCCATTAAAAATCATTTTTTCAAAACTCATTTTCAACAACGCATTCTCCAATAAAATAATATTATATGTAAACCGAAAACATTTTTTTTAATTTTTAACCACACATTATCCAAAAATCAACATTCAAAAATGCATTTTTCTCTCAAAATGGGGCTCAAACAAGCGTTTCCATTTCAGGGAAGAAGAAATGAACTCGAAAAGAAACCAAGTAATACAAAAAGAAAACTGAAATATACAAATACAAAGATTAGAACCTAAATGCAAGCCTGCAAAACCAGGCACAGAACTTCATACCCTATAATGCATTTATCTAATAAATGGAAGAAAAGGAGATATCAAAAGAATAATAGTGCACTAACAACATTAATATTCATAAAGCAATCCAAGGAAAAATACGAAGTATGACTTACATACGGATACACCCAAAAATCAATAAATTACATGCCTAGTCTGTTGGTATTCATTGTACAAATCACTATAACATTTCAAATTGTTGTGTCAAATCTCTTCTCTCTGTATTACTGAAGGTGCAGGTGGTGTCATTGTTTCATCTTTACCTTGTATAAGAGATTCTTCTTGAATTAAAGAAAGCTGCGTTTGTGGACTGTAGTGTTCCTTTGGAAAGTGGCTAGGACTTGGGGAGTTAGCTTTCATAATATGCGATGGAGAGGAGCTGTAACCAAGAGGAGAACTCGGGCTGGACCTAAACTGAAATTCCCCATCTTCACGAGGCAAAGGAGACATTGGCAATTGGTCACCTTTTCGCCTGCAGAACTTATCCTCCACAATATCATATGAATTACCTGTCCGTGCTTCCTGAGCTAGAGAACACCAACAGCAGCAAAGCCACAGAACAAAGTCACCGACAGCTGGTTTACCAAAACAAAAGTTATATGGGGGCAAATTAAATCTCTTTCTCATCTGAATCCTCCAAAAACCACCATAAAGTAGCCCAAATACACAAAGGAAAATACCGGTAACAACTAACGCCGCCCTGGCAGCATCATTGTCTATATTAACGGCCGCCAGGTTGAAAATCCAAAAAGGAGCCATACAAAATAGAAGAAAAGTAACAATGTGAACATACATGTTACCGAACCCAAGTCTCTCCATATTCCATCCAAAAACACAGAAGCTACAAAATAGTGATAGATAAGCTAAGGAAATATCATCCCAAAAATCAAGAATGCCTCCACTCCACAGTGGTCTACTCACGATGTTTCTTTCCTCATCTCTCAATGCAAATGAAAATCTTTTTTTAAGTGATTGTCTCCTCAGTTGATCTGGTCGGCTACTTCCATCAGTGGTAACCGGAAGTTGTGCTTCTTCATCCAACTCAGTCTCATAGTCTTTCCCAAGTGGACTAAGCATGGAGTAAATACCAGCAATTGCAGGGGCACCAATTGCAACAGAGATGCATATTCCAACCCCAATAGCTGGTCGCTCAGATCTCCTGTATCCCAAGTTAAGACCACATGATGCATACTGAGCAAAACAGTTGATGTTGAGTAGAGCCACAACCACCATCATGTGTGCCCACTCATGGGGTTTATAGGTGCCATTCTTGCAGTAAACTTTTCTGAGCTTTAAGACATCTTCTGGACTCCATCTGACTAGTAGTGCTAGGTGATATATTCGTATTGGGTGTTGGTATAAACACATGAGGGTGAACAGTGCATTGAGAATTTGATTATTGACTTCAAACCAAATATCTCGCTGAGACTTCTTTGGTATGGCATGGTTCAACATTCCAACCATAACCATAAACAGAATAGCACCAGAAACAGCAACACAGGTAATCCAGATAAAAAGAGCCAAATTCATGGGATTCCTTATCCATTCCTTGCAAATTTTCCCAAGAGAATTCCAATCAATTTTCTGAGAGAAAATCCTATTCATGCGTTCACGGATGTGAAGGCTGGTAGAAGAAGGTACATTGCGTGAGACTTCATCCCTCTCCTCAGCTATACGCTGAAATTTTGCTGATGGAGAAGACAAATTACCAAACTTAAGGAATCTTAGCCTTTTGGAAAGAGCTGAAAAACCATCACTAAACCCATTTCCTGAATTTTCTTCACTTATAAGACCCCTTTGAGACGTTGAGATGTGCAGACGGACATTACCTTTGACTTCAGTACCATGAGATTCCTTAGCTCCACCACTATTCTCACCATTGCCACTTGAAACCATATTGCTTTCTCGGTAGTGCTTTATTCTCAGAAAATTAATGAACTTTTATGTTACAGAAACATTTTCAATTGTTTCTTCACCTGACTGAAGGACAATCAAATATCACAAAGCTGTAAAATTGAAAAGCAATGTCAATCAATCCTCGTATGTCTTCAAAAATATATGATTCAGTCAATTACACCACAAGAAAACACTCAAAACCCCTAAAATATTTTTAATGAATCTATGAGCCAACAAACATGAGCCTTTATTGAAACCGAAGAAGAAATCTACAAAACTCATAAGCAACAAAGTTAATTCAGGAAAGTCCAATTGCTCATCCAGGGAACATTTTTTTAAACTCTAAAATAAAAGTAAGCAAAGAACAGAAAGAGGATAAATATGAAAATTTAAAAGCAGTCTTAAAATTTGTGAAACCATGATTTTTTGCTGGCCTATGAAAATATTAGCAAATAAGAATCAAAGATTCTTGATTTCCCATAACACGCCATAAAGAGAAATTCAAATAAACTCCAACGCATAATAAACAAAATAAGCAAAAAAAAAAAAAAAAGATCCAAAAGTAACAGATGAAAACTTACAAAAACCAAGCGGGATGCCGATTATGTTGAACAGAGACTTTTAAAACTCTGAGCTGTTTATCTGTTTTTTTCCATCCATCCGTTCGCGTCAAAGCTTCTCTCAAAGAGGAAGGTACACCAAGTTAGATTTTTTACTTTTATTTATTCTTTCTTTTTTTCTAAGCCACCTTCAGAAGTAGAAAAAGCCAAAAAAGTCCCTGATCTATTAAACTCTTACAAATGGGTTCTAAACTTTTATTTATTGACAATTAAATTTTCTATATTTGAACTTTGTAGCGCATTGAGTAAACGGTTTTTACTTTTTATGTAATAAAAGTCAGATTTTTATTGAATATGATTTTACCTTTATTTTTAACTTGAATAAAAAACCTGACTGAAAGAAAAAATATAAAAGTAAAAAGATAAAACGAAAAAAACTTCCCTCCGAAGTTCAAACTGTCCATCCCTCTAAGAGGCCAGAGGGAATGACGAGGAAAGCTTTGGGCAAGGGGCAAACGGGATAGGGTGGAAACAATATGGTGAAGTCCGTATTATTTCTTTTTCTTTTTTACTTATTTGTAATTAAAACTATTCACACATTTTATGTATAAAAAGTAAAAGATGTGAGGATTACATATTTATTCAACGTTATGGTAAATAGAAATTATTGACCTTCAAATTTGAACACACGTCAAAAGATTTCTTTACATCTTTCTATCTACCTATGCATTACCAACATACTTGGATACCTTTTTAGGCATTACCAACACATTGGACACCTTTTTAGGCCATCCCTTGCAAATTGGACGTGCAACCTTACGAACCTCTATCAATGCGTCCTTTATCCTAACAAAGCGTCTCCATTTCTTAATGATGTTCCTTGGCTCCAGCGGGGGACCTATGGCCCACAATGACGTCTAGTGTAGATGTGTCTTACATGGTACTCTCAGGGGCGGATCCAGAAAATTTTCTAGTGTGGGCGATATTAATAGAAGTAAAAAAAAAACGTTAGTCGGTTTCAAAATGTTCCCCAAAGTCCAAACAGACACAGGCAATAACCAACACAGCAACACCCAAGTCCCAACAGCCAAAGTGCCAAACTCATAGTGCATTCACGACTGAAAATTCAATAGTAGACGGCCAGACTGAGAAGCATATGGCAGATGAATATCCAACAACACTTGTGAAAACAGCCAAAAGCAGATGAATACAGGGGACGTGCGCTGTGCATGGTGGATGCAGATTTCAAGGGCGTGCACGGTGCTTCAAACTTTAAAGAATTATCTGTTTCTGTTGGTATTCGATTGTAGGGCCTCTATCATACAATTTTGGGCCAAATAATTGGCCCACTTGTTTTTTTTTTAATTGGGTTTCTGAAAATAATGGGGTGGCCCACCGCTCCTGTACTCTTATTCCTACGTAACTTATACATGGCCTCCACATTTGGAAGGTGTAACGATAATCCTCACATAAGGTGTCTCAGAAACACCGCAAACCATGATGTGAAAAAATTGAAATTTGCTATATAGGCTATAAGTTGAGGACCACAATAGCAATTTTTCCTGTAACAATTTACAAACAAATTGATCCAAAACAATAAAGAAAATGAATATATATCTTTGTTTTTCAGCCATTCAATCATACGGATAAACCAATATCATGGTGGGACGTCACCAGATATAAATTCATAATAGACAACCATCAACCACAAAATCATCAATAGAAGTGTCGGACTCAACGATCCAAGAGAGAGCAAATTTAAGTAAGATCATCCTCGAGTTCTTTGGCTTGAAGGCTTCCTTCACTCTCATTAGAAGAGTCATCTTCCAAGCATCCTACGATCCAACGTAATACAAGAGAGGAGAAATATAGTATAAGTAATATAATGTTATTGCCAAATCAGAGAAAAAAATTCAGCTGATAAATCAGAACAGGATGATGGTAAAATGCTGACTCTATCAGTTTCTCGAATGCCAAAACTCGGTAGAACACACCCCCTGGGAATAAGTAGCAAATTTTATAGCTGAATTATTTCACACTTTGGCATCTATCAAAGTCAGCCTCTTCTTTTCTTTTTATTCTCCCTACGATCACATTTCCGAAACCTTCCCCTCATAACATAAAAAACAGTTTAGAAAAGAGAACAGAGTTAAAAGTATCTGGTTAGACAAGAAGTTTGTCGTTCTAGCTAAAATCTCAATTACAACACATGATGGTAGTAATATTGGGACTTGCGAGCTGATTTTAAGGTTAACTGGCAACAAGAATTCAGAGAAATGACTGTTTCACACATAATTACACTATATCGAACATATTCAGCCATTCACCTGAAGCTTATACAGTTATCAATTTGCATTAGATGCATAAAACAAACATGCAAACCAAATTCAAACTCGCAACTGAAATTTGAGTGCTAGTTCAAAATATAACTTAAAGAGCTTAATGTTGAGTAGTCATAGTGAGACAAAATTAAATTGGGTGGCTAATGTTACACTAAGATGAAGTTGGGTAATCATGGTGAAAAAATCAAATTTGGTGATCAATGTGACACTGAGTATGAAGTTGATTGGCTATTGAAAAATTTAACCAGTGATTGAAAAGTTAATAAAAATTATGAATCACGTGAAATTTATGATTAACTTTGACTGAAATTCAATTCTTTTAGCTAAACATCAATTTGTAATTACTTAACCCTCCTTTCCAAATTCCAAGTTAAAATTGGACAATCAACTCTACGAGCTGCTTGTTTATTTTTGGGATACATATAACATAGGAGACGAGTAGCAAGAACACACTTCAATACGAAGTCTAAAGGAAAATCGATAACTTCTTCAGTGAATTTTCAACCTTCCAAGTGCCGATTATGTCTACATAGAGGCCCAGTTTGTTGTTTACATTCGATTAAGTGGGTACCTTTTAAACGAACGCAATTCAATTATTTAATTGTTTACTTGTTGCTGTTTAGAAGATTTTAAATTGTGGATTTGCAGGGCCTACAGAAAAGTGGAGTTTTCAAGCTCCTTTTTCCACCATTCATATGGAAACCCCAAAGCTCGGGATCGTCGATGGGGACAGATTGGCTATGAATCTTATGAATGAATAACATCTTTAGTATAAAATATTAGACGTACTAAATAATACAATGAGTGATCTACAAAACATGCTGTCCTGTCCTGTCGAGTCGAGTCCAAGGTTTGAATTTGGCAACCGAACTAACGAATGTGATAGATAAAAATTAGGAATCGAGATGAAATGAAAGATCAAGGGTAAACTCAAAAAGGAAGGTTAAACTTGAAAGTTTAAATTAATTAGCATATTTGTTATAAAACCAGATCCAAAATCTCAAAAAGGAGTCTCAATGGGACAATTTCAAAATGAAAGAGCAGCAACAAAAATACAATGGTGAAACCTAGGTAGGTATATTCTTCAGATCATCATCAAGAAGGAAAAGAATTATACACAATAACAGAAGCAAATAGAATGAAACACATAATTTGATGTAAAATTGTCTAACAAAATCCCCTTTCGAACACAAACTGAGAACCAGAAATATAAATTGGAACAAGCAGGCAGGAGGAGATTTGTGAGAACTCCTGCAATAAGGAGCAACCATTCTGCATAGCATTGGACTTGAAGTTCCAAGGATATCCTACTTCCTGCAAAAGTCACATCCATATCCTGCCACAATTAGATGCTAGTCATTTTGCAACATAAACTTCCTAAAAAACCACTCATCGACTTAAGCTCCATTTGATGATTCACTTTTCATGAACAATAAACTAGTTTTTTTTTCTTATACATGGTTGAAATTTTGAATTGAATTGTACTAGATTAGACTATAAAACCTATCAAACTTAATTAAATAAATTTAACTAAATTTTGAAAATTTATTTTGTAAAGGAATACAAGTTCTTCAAAATTCTCAAACGTAATACATTTTTCTTGACAACAATAATTTGATATTTATCCAGATTTCAAAACAAAATGATAATAAGTTCTTTTAAATGATAAATAAATTTCACTATATTTTTTTTATTGTATCTTCATTTATAAAAACTTTTATTTGAGTTGTCAGCCTTCTTTACTAAATTCTATGGCATAAGAAATTAGTTCATTCAGCTTTTAAAATGTATTGTTAACAAGATGTACTAAATGGAATCGGATAATTTATATTTGTCTCAATGTCCAAAGTGATTAAAGAGAAACTAAAAAAAGTGCGTGCAAATGTAGGGGGTGAAACTTTAAAATTGTAAGCCAATAGATTAAATGATGGTATGATAATTTAAGTGCTACAAGGAAGATTATAATTGAACTCAAGTCACGCAGTAAGAAATAAAAGAAATGTTTCAAACTTTTATACAACAATTAATCACAGAAGCGAGCAGATTGCAAGTATATGTGATGCTGCATGCTGCATTTTGAATAAGAGAAGTCAACTGA